GTGTCATCCACGAAGAAAACCTCTCCTAAAACCCATGCTCAAAAAAGCCTGCCATAATTTGCCAGGGCCCATGGTGAAAAAGAGGAAGACTACTGGGTCTCTGTAGTCTGGAGTGATGGGATCAAGATAAATGTTTTTGGAACTGATTACTTCAAAACTGTATGGAATTGCAAAGGTGAGGAGTGCAAAGAAATATGCATGGTGTCTACAGTGAAACATGGTGGTGGCAGTGTCCTTCTGTGGAGCTGCATGAGTGCTGCTTATGTCGGGGGGCTGCATTTCATTGATGGTATCATGAATTCACAGATGTACTGCTCTATATTGAAAGAGAAGATGCCACCATCACTCCGTGCCCTTGGTCGACGTGCACTTTTCCAAGATGACAATGATCCAAAACACACATCTAAGGCCACTTTTGCATTTCTGAAGAAGAACAGGGTGAAAGAGATTCAGTGGCCAAGTATGTCTCCTGATCTGAACCCAATTGAACACCTATGGGGAATTCTGAAGAGACAAATTGAGCATCACTCTACATCCAGCATCCAGGCTCTAAAAGAGGTCATTCTTAAAGAATGGAAACAGTTAGATGTCGCAGTATGTTGCCAATTTGTTCATCCCATGCCAAGAAGACTTGGTGCTGTCCTTACAAATCATGGAGGTCATAAAAAATACCAGATGTACTAGTTTTTTTGTGGGGGTGTATTAATTTTTTGCATCAACTAATTTGAGTAAAACTGAAGATTTTGTCATCTAAGTTATATTGTTAACTTTACGTTCATGTAATGAGCTAAACAAATGTTCTATAAAGCTCAGTTTTTAAAAAATTTTGGAAACTGTTCTTGTGTTCACTGAGATATTGATTAAAATTGTACTTTTCAAAAGAGGTGTACTCATTTATGCTGAGCACTGTGGGTGTTGAGACCCTCTTTTATATAGGGTGTCCATTATCTCTAGTGAGTCTTCTGAAGCACACATCGATTATCAAGGAGATGATTTGAAGATTTGAACATATGCACTTTTGTATATTTATAAATTTATATGTAAGTGTATTTTTTGTTGCATTTTTAATACTGTGAATTTTACATTTTGGTTATTTATTCTCCTAGGCTCCATCATCAAAAATGATGGTTTGACTCAGGAAAAAAAATTTATGTTTTTTTCAGATCTTAATTAAGATCCCAGGATCCCTATCCCCATGTGTAAACAGACTGAGTTTCCACAATATGCACAAGGACCCATTGGCCTGAACTAGTAATGTCTTTTTCTTGTAGGAATAAGAAGCACCACGTCACATTGCATTGTTTGAAATGATGTACTACTTAGCTTATACAGTTGTTTGTCAATCTGAGAAATGCTTCTTAATGTCTTTTTAGTGCTGATATTTTAATATATTTAAAAGAGATGTGCCCATACTGTATATCAACATGTCTCCATAGTCTTGAATAGAGGAAATGAAAGTACATTAATCCTTATATCTACAATGCAATATTCTAAACATACAGTGTCGACAAGAACTACAGAGGAAAATTTTTGGGGCTAAATATTTCAGATGATTGCAAAATGAGCAAACAGTTTGGTTAGGCAATGGGAAAGGAAAATTATAGGAAGCATCACTAGAGGGGTCACCAGCAAAAGGAAGGAGGTTCTGATTCTCTTATATATATATATATATAGAACTTGATTTAGAATACTGTGTCTAGTTTTGGAGACCTCATTTACGAAAAGATATCGATAAAATAGAACTAGTTCAGAGAGAGTAGCAAAAATAGTGAAAGGCCTGGCGAATAAAACACGTTAGACTTCAGCAACTTAGTATATACAGTCTTGAGGAAAAAAGAGAAAGGAGCGATATGAAATGTTTAAATACATTAAGATTGCCAGTAAGGTTCAGGAGGTTAGTATTTGTAAAATTAAGCTAGAATCAGGAACATGCAGATATGACCTCAACCAGCATTACGAAAGATCAAAATTAATCCTAGAAAGTATTTTTTTTTTACCAAAGGAGCAGTTGATGCATGAAATAAACTCACAACAGTGTTTGTGAGTCAGTCAACTGTAAGTAGATTCAAACATGCTTGGGACAAACATAGCGCAGACATAAAATTAAAAGCTAATATATATATATAGATATATATCCATCCATCAGCCCTGCCCACCCATCTGACAACCTTTTTATGTTTGTTGCCATCTTAAACTATAATCTAGAGCAGAATCCACTCAAGGACATGCAAATGTTCAAGGCAATGCGCTAAGGCAGTGTGCTAGGTTCCAGGCAATGGCATAACAACAGCTATATTAGCCCATATTGCTTCTGTGAGGTCCACAGGTGGGAATGGGGCCCCGGTGGAGAGGTTGTTGAGACAACTTAAACATGAAAAAACAGTGTGCATGTAAATATAACACAGATCCAGTACTGTAACATAAAGCTTCATCTTTAGCTGTCACCGCCACAGATCTTTATTGTTTCCCCCCCTTCCATAAGTAGATGTATTACCTTTAGAGCTTCTGATCATCCTGGCTATCACTCTTATATTAACCTTGTAACACTAAAGTTTATTTCCTCCTAGATTGTAAGCTTGAAAGAGCAGGGCCCTCGATCCCACTCTTATATTAATTGTTCTGTCACATGTTCTGTAAACTATTGGCGCTTTAAGTTTAATAATAATAAAATACTAAAACTGGAGAGTGCAAAATCTGGTGCAACTCTGCGTAGAAACCAATCGGTTTCCATGTTTTTTGTGAATGCTGAATTGAACTAGCTAAAGTTAGAAGCTTATATGAAATAAGTGAACCATGCTAGAATTTACCATGAAATGCAAATGTGCAAAGAATCATCATGGTATTTCAAAATCATTCAACTAGTACTAAAGGTTTTCAATTACTGTGATAATAAATAATATGATAAAAAATGTTACTAAATATTAAATAAAGTCCAGTGATATTAAAATATTAAGTCCACTGTGAGTCCTATATATTATATCACTGCTACTGTGATTCCACTCCAAATGTTCTCTCACACACCACAGCTGTTCAGTGAGGTGAATCCCCAGTGATCTGCACCACTCATTCTCTCACCAGAGTTTCATGACCAATTTATTTCTAAATGGTCTAAGATCGCCGGTGCCCACAAAGATTCTCTATGTGGCTGATGTGAAGGATTATGCACCAAGTTTTCTCAATGTTTCAAAATCAAAAACAACCATCATTGCACAAGCACATTTATTAAAATAAAGTAAATCCACCTAAAAGCTTTAAAAAAATGCACATTTAGCAATGCCCTTGAACCAGCACTAAGTATATCCATCATATTCAACACCTCTGAATGCCACCGCTATCCTTATCCTGAAACAGTGTGCATTCCACCAACAGGAAGTACATTACCGGGGAACCAGATGTGGCTTACTTCAATACGTTTTGCCTAACTCAACAGTTACAGGGTAACCCTAGCATGGACCTCAGATAATAGTTGAAAGAATTCATTAATAAGGGCATTAAAAGAATATATTAACCATTTCCCGTCCGCCCATGTACATAAACGGCCGGATGGGAGCAGTGCAGGAGCGGATTGCCTTTCATAAACGGCGCCCGCATTTACAACCTGTGCACGCTCCCTGGAAGCGCTCGGCACTGCACTCTGTGTGAGGTCCCAATCATGTGATCACTGATTGGCCAATCAGAGATCACATAAATAGTAGTAAGAGAGATGTCACTTTTGACATCATTGCTTACTACTAGTGAAATCTGTGAATGATCACAGAGGTCACATGGTACAAGGCTGTTCACAACAGCCTTGTACCATGTGACAAGCTGTGAACAATCACAGCTCTCACAGTATTTCTCAATGGTTGCAAGAATGCAGCCAGAGAGAAGGAGAAATTATTGCTTTTACAGCTTTTATGGGTGTAAAAGCAATCAGTGTAAAAAAATAAATAAATCTTCATCACCCCCCACAAGTAGAACAGTGTCCTATGGGACACTGTACTGCTAGGGTGACAGTATGTTAAAAAAAATAATAATAATAATATAAAAAAATAAAATAAAAATGTAAACAAATTTTTGAAAAATTATAATTTTTAGTTATAAACTAATTTGGGTTATTTTTTGTAACTGAAAAGATAACTGAATACATATTGGCCAAGATTTATGAAGAAAGATTATTTATTTGCAAAAAACACTTTTTTTCCAAATTTTTGGACTTTTTCATTTATAGTTCAATTGTTAGGTGGGCTGAGTAGCAGCCTAGGTGTGATAGCTAGTAGGGTCAAATTTGGGTCAGAGCTGAAAGGCTTTGCAGACCAACCCTCTGGGATTTCCCCTGTCCTAGAACTTTGGAGATATATCTAGTAGCATTGAAAGGATTTGAGGAGTGGCTGGTCTGTACTCTTAGAGGAACCTGGCCAACCCCCAACAGGAAGATTGGCAAGGGGCCAGGACAGCCTTTAACAGTAACTGAGCATGCTCAGCTGAGGAGAGAGGTTGGGGTTGGGTGGAAGATAGAGAGGATGTGAAGCTGGAGGCAGGAGCCTGTGAAGGGGCCCAGATGGTGATGGGCTCACCTACAGGCAGAGGACCTTGGAAGGAGGAAAGCTTGGGACTTCACTAACCCTCTGAGAGAGGACCACCTGTGAGGCAGGGAAGGAGCGGCCCAGCTAAAAGGTCTGGTAGCAGCCACTAATCCACCAGCAACACAGGAGATGGACTGAGTGAATAGACCTGCACCCCCTGGGCCAGATAGGGGAAATAACACAGTGATGGGAATTTGCATTAGCTGCCTACCCGGGATGATCTTACATTTATGGTGACAGGCACTGGATCTCCTGCTCAGGGATTCCTCCAGGCAGCCAGATAAAGGAGCATATGGGGTCTGGGGTGGTATTACAGGAGATGCTGGCTAGCTCTCCACAAGGAGGATGTTTGTGTAAGGACTTGTACATAGTTCAGGAAGTTGTCTTCGGTTTCTCAGTTCTTTTGGGCATCCTATACACCCCTTACCCGATCTAAGTTCTAAACAGGGGCAGACTGACTATTTGGAAACTCAGGCACTGCCCGAGGGCCCGGGGTCAGTAGGGGGCCCCATGAGATGCCCCTGGTACCTTTTTCATAGGCTTTTTTGAGTTTGGGCAAGGACACAGGGGCCCCATGATCCCCTATTGCCCAGGGGCCCCATGAGTTGTCAGTCCGCCCCTGGTTCTAAATACCGTAATAAAACATCAAAACAAGCTCAAGGACTGTTGACTGACTCCTGAATGCAAGTGGATGTGAAAATGTGTGTTGCCTGGCTGTGCAGGACTATAGGGGGGTCCAAAACTTCAGCAACTCCTAAGGGGGATAGTGCTACATTTGGATGTATTCCTTCAACCCTTAACCAGTAAGGGCAAGGCGTTTATTAAGGACAACAGACATATAATGAAATTACTTAAGAAAGTAAAGGTTGATGATTCCAGTTTATAAATTACTATAGATGTGAAATCACTCTACACCAGTATTAAACAGGCTGATGCATTGGCAGCAATAGCATGGTCTCTAAGGCATCATTCAGATTTGAAATTGGGACAAAGGAAATATATATTGGAGGGTCTAAAAATGGCTATGAATAATCATTTCTTTTGGCATAAACACAAATATTATAATCAAATAATGGGAGAAGGAATGGACACAAAATATGCCGCAAGTGTAGAAAATTATTTTTTTAACAAATGGGAGGAGGAAGAGGAAATGTTTGGAAATAATTGACCCCTAATAACTTTAAACCAGAGAATTATAGACAATGTAGTTATGGTATGGCAAGGAACCAAGGAGGAATTAGAAAGTTTTGTTAATCATACTAATGAGAATAAATATGGAATAAAATTTGCCATTAATATAGAAACAACTAGTATTTATTATTTAGATTGGGTGAATTTTAAAAATGGCAAAACTTAACACAAGGACATATTTTAAAGAAACCGATAGGAATGGTTTCATAGCAATTAACAGTTGCCACCAACTGCCATTGCAAAAAGCAATACCCAAGGCCAATTTATGAGAATTTGGCGCAATTGTGATAGGATACAAGATGTTAGGTCCCAAACCAAATGGATGTCCTTATAGAGAGATTTGTAGAAAAGGTGTAGAAAAGAAGAGAACTGGAATCTACTAGAAAAAAGATAGGTGAAATGGAGAGAGAAAATGCTGGAGGATAAGGAAAAAACAGCAAGAATAAATGGATCTAGCATTTATTACTGGCTTTAATGTGAATTATAGGATGTTGAAAAATAGTATAAAAATTGGCCTATATTATATAGGGACTCTTTTGTGTATAGGAGAGCACCAAAGTTGACAAACAATATTGTTTTTATTGACACCCTGAAAAACAATGGTTACTTTTCTTGACCAGGTAGTTTTTTTTTGAATGTGGGAAATGTTTACCATTTAGGACCACAATTACGGATAATAAAACAAAAATGAAATTCCAACCTAATATCACAAAAAAGGAATATCCCATTAAAAAATGTATTACTCATACATATACTCATGTCACTCACATGTTAAAATGTACTTGTTGCTACCAGCATATAGGTAGAACCACACGCAACTGGAAACAAGAATAGAAGAACATACTGAAACAACATCATTAAGGGATACAAACACCGCAGCATATCACATCACTTTAGGATAGCACATAACAGAGATCCCAATTGTTTAACATTTTGTGGTATAGAGAAGAGTACAAAAACACTGGAGAGGTTCTAACCTAAGAAGTAATGAAAAATATTGGATATATGAATTAGAAACTATGAAACCACAAGGCTTGAATATAGAAATTAGATCTTATTTGTTTTATTGATAATTTTTCATTTATATTAGTAGGTGCAATAAATTTAAAATTGTAATAATAAAATTGTGAGCATAATTGTAACTGTTAATAGGATTTAATAAAAACATATGAAACAATGGTATATATTATGTACGAACACTAGATAGAGCTCTATTGTTTTTAGTGATATTTTATAGATCATGAGAACAAAATTTTAGAGGAAGACAAGTATTTTATTATGTCATATTTATTAATTTATTTATATGTATCTAAATAGGAAGATTCATATTATGTAAAAGTATATCCAATATAGCCATATACCTGGAATTATTCTGAACTATATGTGATTTAGGCAAATTGTCATAAGTTAATATGATGAAATGGGCAGTTTCAATCCTTAATTACATTGCCAGAAAGTACCGCAGTGAGAGGGTATGAATACCACTTTCAAAATGGCACACGCTGACTTCCCAAAAACACCTTGATGTAGGTGAAACACGTTGAAGTAAACAGCGGTGCTTGACCTCACATCCGGTTCCCCGATAATGTAGTTCCTGTTGGTGGAACACACGCCAGCTTGGACGAGTAGAGCGGCGGTGTTCAGCAGTGGTGTATTTGCTGACATACATAGTGCCGGTTCAAGTGCACTGATAAATGTGAGTTTATTTGAAGCTTTTAGGTGGATTTCCTTTATTTTAATAAGTGTATTTGCGCAATGATGGTTGTTTTTGATTTTTCTCTTCATAAGAGGAACATTGAGAAAACTCGGTGCACAGTTCTTCACATCAGACACATAGAGAATCATTGTGGGCACAGGCAATCTTAAACTCTTTTAAAAATAAATGGTTCATGGAATTCTGGCGAGAGAATGATGTGCAGATCACTGGGGATTCACCTCACGGAACAGTTATGGTGTGAAGAGCACGTTTGGAGTGGAATCACAGTGGCAGTGATATAATATATGATACTCACACTGGACTTTATCTCTTAATATCACTGGGATTCATTTAATATTTAATAACATTTTTATCACATTATTTATTATCACAATAATTGAAACTCTTTAATAATAGTTGAATGATTTTGAAATGCCTTGATGATTCTTTGCACATGTGCACTTTATGATAAGTCCTAGCGTGGTTCACTTATTTTATATAATATTCTAGAGTTTAAGGTAAATGTCTATTCTGATCTGCAGCTGAAAAACATTTGAGTGAATTCACTTATTGTATGTTTTTTTTTTGCATATTCCTATTTAAATTAAATATAAATTAATCACATTTAGGGTACAATAGTATTTATCATTTTGCGCTGTGTATTACATCTGAAGTTAGAAGTTGATTGGCTACCATGCACAGCTGCACCAGATTCTGAGCACACTAGTTTTAGTAAATCTACCCCACAGTCTTCACGAGACTAAAAATCCCTCAGTGTCTCTTTCATTTAAAACATATATTTGAGGTTTGTAATTTTGTCAATAAAAGCCACAGTTCAAAGAAGTTTGTATTAAGTCTTTTGTATATAGAAGCATTAACAATTATGTAATGATATATAATATTAAACTAATATACTTTTTTTTTACTGACTATTAAAGAATTTACAAAACAGTCCTGAGAGCTTACACCGAAAAAAGATCAGTTGATGCTAAAACAAATACTGCCAAGCTACTTCGTAAATTTAAAGTGAATTCTCTGCATTCCTGCTCTTCTCTGGCAATATCTATCCACAGCACTGCTCATTATTAGTGTACTGATGCTGTATACAATACAAAAATTTAAAAAATAAAATGTGTTCAAAATTTTAAAAATAAAATGTGTTCATAAATTTAGGATAAAATGTATTCTGCTACATGTCTGTGTTAAAAAAAAATCTCAAATAAGTGTGTATTAATTGGTTTACGTGAAAGTTATAGTGTCTAAATAATGGTGGTATATATACTGGAATTTTTTTTTTTATATATACTAGTAATGGCTGCTATCAGTGACTTATAATGGGCCTGCAGCAGGCATTCTGACATTGGGGGAACTGACTAACTGCCACTGACATCCCCAGTGACACTAATACAGTGATCAGTGCTAATAAAAAGCACTGACATTGTACTAATGACACTGGGCAGGAAGGGGTTAACATCTGGGGCAATCAAAAGTTCAACAGTGTACTGTGTGTGTTTTACATTGTCTGCTGTGTGCTGTTTTACTCTGCTGTGCAGAGAGATACAAAGCAGCATGTCCATTGCATGTTGTTTAAACACAGGTATCTCCCCTGTCAGCTTTGCCGACGATCACCGAGTCCTGGATGGAAATAGCCAGCTGGGACCCTGTGATTCACATCCCCAGCATCCATTTGCAGCACGGGTAGGGCGGCGCATGCGTCTCCTATCTGGAAATGCAAATCAGGTATATATATGTGATTTTGCACAGCCCTGCCGCCCTGTAGCAGTACATCTGCTATAGGGCGGCAGGCAAGCGGTTAACCTACAAGAAAGCTTTTATTATAAACTTACCTGTAGGTGAAAATCACAGAGGGGACTTTTATACCACTTTAATTTAGGATGACATAATGTTAGAATCAGTTACTCTATTGTCTCTTAGATTTGCAGTCAAACATTTGAAGGTAAAGTTGAATTTCTGGGCACAGTGACATCATCCCTCATTTTTCAAATTGGCTGGAAATTTTATTTGTTTGAATAAGCTGAGATTAACCAATAGTAAAAAAAAATTCCACTTAATAGAGAAAGAAAAGGATAAAGAAAAATATAGAGGAAATTTTAATGTTTTTTTTTTTTTTACACTGAGTTTTCACAACTGCTATCTAGGGATTGCAACATATTCTAGGTACAGGCACCTTTGAAAAGAATAGGAAAAGGAGTGACATGGCTTACTTTGTGTTAATTTAGGTTTGTTCAAGTTTTTTTTTATATAATTGCATATTATGTTTACATTTACATTTAACTGCTGAAAAGCATTTCTGTTGATACTATCATGTGTATTTACTAATTCTGCGTAAGTGTTATTATTTTTTATGTTCTTTGTGATTTAATATTGGGTGTAATGAATACATTTATTTTTTTATTTGTAAAATTATTTGTGAATTATGTGTATATATTCATTAGTGCACACTACTGTTGAATTGTTATATCACACTTTTGTGTTTATTTATTTATATTAGTATTTCATTACTTAGAAGTAAAATGCTGGTGGTTAACATTAAACACTTCTCATGGATATTTTTGTTCTTATGTAAAAAATAAATAAATAAAAATAAATAATCAAATAAATAAAGTAATATAAATATTTGCTTAGCAGCTTTTAAATCCTTTTCAAATACACCATCCTATTCTATGTTCCTTACACCTGTATATAACTTTAATTAAAGGAAAATAGAATCTGACCACTTTGAGATT